CCCCAAAACCCCAAAACCCCAAAACCCCAAAACCCCAAAACCCCTATTTTAGGGCATAGATTTGAAGGAGTAATTAATAGAGATATGGGGTGTGGAGCTTCAGCACATAATACTAGGAATGTGAAAGACAGTATTGTGATACCTAGTGAAGGGCCTGCGGCCAAGAATAGATACTTACAGCTTCAGGATGGACATAAGATGCCTCTTATGGGCCTTGGGACCTTCTTAAGTGTTGATGAGAATGAGGTAATAGAGAACGTTACTCATGCTATTGTAGAAGAAGGGTATCGTCACATAGATACAGCACAGCTCTATAAAAATGAAGAAATGGTTGGGAAAGCACTTGAGCAATGTTATGAGCAAGGAATAAAAAGAGAGGAACTGTTTATCACCACAAAGATCTGGAGAACTAACTATAAAAATGTAAGAGGATCCTTTAAGGAATCAATGAAGAAGCTTGGATTAGAATACCTGGATCTTTTGCTTGTTCATTTTACTCTTACTGATGTTGACTGGGAGACTTACGATATCAAAGGTCCTCCAATGTATAAGGTCTGGAAAGAATTTGAGAAGCTTAAGGATGAAGGTTTAGTCAAGAGCATTGGAATATCCAACTGCACTAATATGATGTTTGTTGACATAGTTGCAGGAGCAAAACACAGACCAGTCGTAAACCAGATTGAAACAAATCCTTACTTCAGCCAACAAAAAGTTATTGATTTCCAAGAAAAATTTGGATGTAAAGCCACTGCTTATGCTCCTATTGGAAACCCAGGGTTTACTGGGAGTGACCTGTTAAAAGACGAAGTTATTTTAGATATAGCCAAAAAGCACAAAGCTACTGCAGCACAAATTGCACTTGCCTGGAATATGCAAAGAGGAGTAATGGTTATTCCAAAAACAAATAGCAAGGAAAGACTTAAAGAGAACTTCGAAGCTCTTGATGTCACACTTGATGAGAAAGACATCGAAAAGATCAACCAGCTGAACAATAACAAAAGAATGTGGGATCCTGATCAATGGGACGAGCCTCAGTACGGATGGAAAAATAACCCTGTTTATTTGTAACGAAACACAAATTTTACCTTAATTCTCAACCTAAGTGCAACGTAACGGGGTTTTGGGGTTTTGGGGTTTTGGGGTTTTGGGGTTTTGGGG